AGTCAGAGGAAACTCTGGAGGGGGATCAAGATTGACTTATAAAGAATTGTCAATATGATGATGACACATACGTATATGTATGTACATATATGTGTGTGTATACATATATATGTGTATACATACATATACATAAGTGTGTATATCCTATACCACACCCAAACAGCTTACCATGCCACATCTAACAAAAAGTATTATTTTGAAAACTGTTTCTTTAGTTATAGACTTAAAAAAATACATTGTTGGAAAGACTGATCCTATCTTTTGGTTTATATGCATTGCATGATCAATAATAAATGTACGTGAAATTTTAAACTTCAAAAAATAAGCTAAGCTAATGAGTTTTGTTTTCTTTTAGATGTAAAAGAGAGCCATTGAGGGTTCCTGACCAGAGGAGTAACATAGTCAAGCTTGTGCTTTACGAAGATTCTTTTTGACACTTACATGTGAATTAGTAAGGTGAGGTACATAGGTGGTAAAATGGATATAATGCTAGATTGGGAGTCAGGAAGATCACTTCCTGCCTCAGGTACTTGCTTAGCTGTGAGACTCCACAAGTCACTTAACCTCTCTCTTAGTCTCAGTTTCCTCATCTATAAAATAATGACAATATTAGTACCCATCCCCCAAAGCTATAGTGAGAATGGAATGAGATAATATTTGTAAAGTGCTTTGGAAACCTTAAAAGTAGCTATCATCATTTACTAGCTGTGTGACCCTGGGCAAGTCACTTAACCCCAATTGCCTAAAAATAAAAAAAAATTAAAATTAAAAAAAAAAAGTAGCTATCATCATCATCATTATTATCATTATGGAACATTCACTCAACTCTAGTTGGGCACCCAAATAGGGAAGTCTATGAGCTCAGCAAGAAGGGGTTAGGGGGACGGTTTCACTTAGTAACAGAACAGGTCGCTATCTCCCATGCAGCTAGCTCCCTAGGAAGGCCATAGGCCTTTTTATCACCAACAGTTTATCTCCCACCCACAGAAAATTGGCCAAACCCAACAGACAGAGGCCAGGATTGTGAGAATAGGGTTCTGATTTTTGGTCCTAACTGTTTTCTGATTAGGGAGAAATCCCTTCTATTTAGAGCTATGGAGAAAGATGATGGAATCACCCAGAAAGGCAGAAAGTTGGGTGCGAGGAATCTTCCAATTACATAGAGAGATTCATGTCACCTTCCCCCCATCTCACTTTGCTATACAGTACTTTCCCCAAATCTGCTCATCTTAGCTTCTGTTCCAGCTTGACCTTAAGCCCATCCTTATGCATATCTAGGCCTTGACCTTGACCTCATGGAAATACCCTCCTACATCTTTAATTTGGTTGGTTTATGACTTGATTGTGTGCTTAGGTGGTATTAGGCCCCCATTGGTTCCCCCCCTCTACCCGCAATATAACCAAGTGAGATTTACTTAGTATGGTATGGAGAAAACTCATGTAGGAGTCAGGAGACCTAGGTACTAGTCCTGGTTCTTGCCATCACCACACTGTGTAACCTTGCTGGGTTGTACAAGATAAATTCTAAGGTCTCTTCCAGATCTTCTCTTCCATGTTCAATGATCTGGTATCACTCACAGCATGGACATTTTATAGTTTAAAGCCCTTCTGAACTCTAATATTCTGTTGTGAGGTGCTTCTCTGCTCTGACACTTTATATACTATATTCTGTTACCACTTTCTAACGTTCTATGTTCCAAGGTCCCTTCTAGCTCAGAAATTCTATGTTCTGTTTATTGCTCTAAGATTCTTGGGTTCTGTTATCCATCAGTGACAGATTCTTTGAAAAAAAAAATGTTCTAAATCTGATAATATGTCAAAGAAACTCTCCCACACCTCTTATTCCTGACCTGGAACCACCGTTTTGTACTGTATTATCACCATTATCATCACCACAGTCTTCATCATCTACAATTTTACATAGCTCTTTATGATTCACACAAAGTACTTTTCTAACCATAAGCTATGAGATAGGTAGGGTAAGTACTATAATTTCCATTTTCCAGATGGAGAAACTGAGGCTTGGAGAGGTGAAATGACTTGCCCTTGGTCATACACTAGTGTTTGTAGCTGAGACAACTCCAAAGTCCTCTCCCTTTCTTTCAAGGCTTTGGAGAATGCGGGTCCACTCAACCCTGCTAACTTTTATTTCCCATTGCTTCCATTGGGTATCATCCCCTTAACCTTCAGGTGCTCTGCCCAAAGGAATGTAAATTTTGATCCCTGAAACCTTGAAAGTTATTACAGGGCCTGGCCTTAAACCCAAATCACTTTGGCTCTCATTGATTGGCCAATAATAGGTCCCAGGCCAAGCCCCACTTGGTCATTGTTTGGGTCCTGAGTGAATATAAATAGCAATTGTTTTTGTTTTGGTCAGAAACCCTGAGGGTCTTCCCCTCCCAGATCTTTTTTTTGTTTGTTTTGACTAGGTAAAAGAAGCCATTCTCTGCCTCATTTCTTGCCTAGCCTAAATCACTGAATGGGTATTGCCTCAGTCAAACTGAGACCTGTTTAAAAAGCTTTAAAAGGCTTTTAAAATTCTCCCACTGTATGCTGGACCATCTCTAGTCGTCCTGATCGATATCTCCCCACTGGACCCAGATGGCTCCCGAGGACAGATTGAGGCTGGTGACTTTGCACAGCCCTCTCTCACTTCAATTCACTTGCGTGTCATGGCACCATCTTCCTGATGTCACGGTCCTCTTTGAGAAGGACAATCAACACCAATAATAACCTACATGCAATAACCTCTGGACTTCAGCCAGGCCTGGCTCCTTATGTAGACCATATGAGCCATGTACATCATGACTTATTCACCTTTTTCATGCTGTTCCTTAATCCATGGATTAGTCTACCCACCCTTCTCTGCCCATTATTCACATCTTATCCATCTTTTAAGGTTCAGCTCCAATCTCTTCTTTTCTAGATAACCTTTTTTGACTTCCCCAGCTCATAGAGATCTCTCCCTTCTCTGAAGAGTCACACTACAATTTTGTTTATCACCACATTGATTCTCTCAGTTTCCCATGTCTATTAGTCTGTGCTCCTTAACTATATAATCATCTCCTTACAGTGAGGAATTATATAGCCACATCATGCAGTGAGGGTGAGGAAAAACCTAGATTTGAATTCCAGCTTTGCCACTCCCAAGGCAGGTAGGCACAGTGGATAGAGTGCCAGGCCTGGAGTCAGGAAGACTCATCTTCCCGAGTTCAAATCTGGCCTCAGACACCTCTTAGCTGTGTGATCCTGGGCAAGTCACTTCGCCCTATTTGCATCAATTTCCTCATCTGTAGAATGAGCTGGAGAAGAAAATGACAAGCCACTCTAGTATCTTCACCAAGAAAACCCCAGATGGGGTCATGAAGAGTCAGACACAACTGAAAAATTACTAAACAACAAAATTTGCCACTCCCTAGCTTTGCAATACTAGGACAGTCATAGGATCATATATTTAGGGCTATAAAGAGGACTTTGAGTGTAATCTGGGTCAACTCTATCACTTTACAGTCAAGGAAACTGAGGACCAGAAAGGTTAAGTGATATGTCCAATGAGACCAATAGTAAATGATAGGACTGGAATCCTAACCCAGGTCCTTAGAGTCCAGATTTGGCCCTCTTAGTATCAAACTTGCTATCCTCTCTGGGCCTTAATTTCTTCACATGTAAAGTGGGGATACTCATATTTGCACTACACAATTCATAGAGTTATTGTAAATACCAGGTGTATACATATGGAAATTTCCAGAGTGATCTCTATCATTCTTGGAGTGGGCAAGTGGCAGGAGACCCAGGACATCAGCTGGGTGATGGGCAGCCCTGGAGAAGGGATGTGGAAAGACAGTCATTATCAGTTCCTCTACCTCCCTTGAGTTGATACAATCTTTTCTTCATTGGCTACTTCCTCCAAGGTCCCTCTATAAGACCCCATCAAGAGTATGTAAGCTCACAGAAATGATGAAGATCTGGTCTTCATCCCTGATTTCCTGAAGAGGTGAGTTTCTCCTTGCTTGAGGCAAATGGAGTCCAAAGGCTAGCACTGGATTTTCCTAAAACCAATGCTTTTCTTTCTTTAAAGAGCTGCTAAGTTTCTTAATATTTTCTGAGTGGGGATGTCTTTGTCACTGCTCTCTGGCTTAAAGAAGGAACATACTGTAAAGTTTTTGATTCTTTGTAATTGTTCACTGGCTTATCACTGGGCTCCTTAAGCCATTTACAGGTGAGAGTTTTTCTGTTTTTAGAGGCTGGAACCAAGATGATAACAATAGCAACTATCGATATGGCATTTCATACGTGTTGTCTTGTGGCCACTGTGCAAGAGTAGATCATTCCAATCTCACAGAAGAGGAGACTGAGGTTCAGAGGGGTCAAGAATTGTTCAGTCACATACCAATAAATGGCAATGCCTGGGCTCAAAAAACACTCTTCTAATTTCAACTCTAGTGCCTGTCATTCTCATCTGTTTTCTTTTTCTTTTCCTCATGGCTTCATCTTGTGTGGAATTATAAACTCTATGTGATCCTTGGAGCCCCCCTCAGTCATGAAAGTGGGAAGCAGGTTAGGAACATGTGTTGCCTTCCTGAGTTTTGAGGAGGGAACAGGCTTTATAAGCTTTGAAATCCCACATCTGAGCTACTTACTGAGTGACTAAGCTTGCCACCATCCTCTCTCCCTGTTTCCCTTCTGTGACTTTCATTATTAGTCTCCCAACCCTACATGGAAGACTGAAGCATTGTCCAGTATACATATCACTCAGAAAGTGTACCTTGTACCCTTGGAGAACAGGAGCTGGATTGAGGGTTCTTTTCTCTCTTCCTTCTCCTTCCCTTTGATGCCTTCTCCTTTCTCCATTCCCTTACCAATTTCCTCCCTTTTACAGGTCTTCCCTTCAGTCAAGAATTTAGTGTTTCTTTCTGTCCGTGGGTAGCTCACTACAGACCTTTGGTTGTGAAAGAGAAACCTTAGGGGAAGAAGGAGCAACTGTTTTTCTACTGTTAAAGATGAAATTACTTCTCATCTTATCACTTCTCCTGTTGGGCACTGTGTCTTCTCTTCATCTGAGTAAGTATCTTCTCACTCCCTAAAATCCCAGGCCTTATCCTTTTCTCTCTGTGGCTCTCTACTTTCTATACATTTTGGACCATAGCTTGCTTGAAGTAGATTTTCAGTCAGACCAGATCTGGTCAGATGCCCATAGATTTAGAGTGTCAAAGCTGGAAAAAACCTTAGAACAGAAAGAACATAGTATCCCTGATGAGAAGGAACTTAGAACGTGGAATGTTAGAAGAGATACTATATTTCAGATAGTCTGACCTTTTTCTGTTTATGTATAAGAAAACCAAGGTCTAGGGAAGGAAAATGGCTTGCCCAGATCAAACAACTTTTCAGAGACAAATCTAGGACTCAGATCCAAGTCTTTGTAACCCTTAGACCAATATTCTTTCCACTCTTCCAAATAGAACTCAGACTCTGGACTCTTATTAAAGGGACAGAGTCCTCATATCTGGGACAATAAAGAATCCCAGGGATCAAGTCATTGACGGGTTGAGATCTGAAGTTCCCTCTTAGGTGAGACTGTGCTGAGGTGTTGAGATTTGGGAACTCTCCATGGTATTTAGGGGAGCTTGTTCTCGGAGAAGTATGGTACTGAAAGGGGAGGGCGTTTTATAAAACTATAATGTTGAATGTGAAAGGGATATTCTATATCATTGAGTTCAAGTCCCTTATTTTATGGCTGAGGAAATTAAGACCCAGAGGGGAAGTGACTTCCATATGGTTACATAATGAATTGATGACTTATCTAGAATTGGCCTTTTCCTTCTCAGTCCAGTACTCTTTCCATTTCCCATTCCCAGAAAATGAGGCTCTTGAGCCAGAGGCATCAGAGGAAGAAAAGGCCTTGGCTCAGGAGCTAGAGACTCCAGAGGAAGAGGATAACTTGACCATAAGGGATGAGGAAGATGATGATGAAGGAGAGGAGAGTGAAGCTGCTGAGGATGATGACAACCTTTGCCCAAAGGAAGAGGATGTAGTCCGTATGCTGGGTAGCCCAGGATGTGAGACTTGCCGGTTCCTGATTGTTAATAAGCCAAGGAAATTCAAAAGAGCTCAGGTGGGTGAAAATGAGATGGGGACAAAGGCCTTGGGAATGGGGGAAGAAGGAAGATATTCATTAATCATTTTTTTTTATTCATTTTCCATGATGAAGTACTGAAATAAAGATAAAGGTTGGAAAGGGAGTGATGAGGCAGGAAAAAATGGGGAGGGACATATTGGACCAGAAATGTTCTTAGAATCATAATAATAGAAAATGCCAAAGCTGGAAGACACTTTAAAGATCATACAGCTGAACCTCCTCAATTTGCAGACAAAAGCAACCAAGATCTAAAGAGGTTTTTATTTGTCTGAGATAACACAGATAGTGTCAGATCTGTGGCTAAAAGCCAGGTTTCCAGATTTCCACCCCAGGCTCTTTTCATATTACCACTCCAAGATTTATTGCTGAAATAATAGCATTAAGTTTACCTTAATGGATCTGATCATTAGCAGAGAGTGGAAAGTGCCCTGGACTGAGGGCTAATCTCAGTTTGAGACATATAGCTGTCATTTATTAGTTGCATGAGCTTGGACAAATCACTTTGTTGCTTTGAGTTAATTTCCTCTTTTCAAAAATGAGGACAACACTACTTAAACCGCCCTTCTTTTCTCTCAGGGTTGTTATGAGTATAAGTTGGATAATGATAAAGGATAATGATGATAAGTTGCATTTATATGGTTACATATAATACATATATACATATAATACATACATATAATACAATACATATAATACATATCAATGGCTTGATCCCTGGGATTCTTTATTGTCCCAGATATGAGGACTCTGTCCCTTTAATAAGAGTCCAGAGTCTGAGTTCTGTTTGGAAGAGTGGAAAGAATATTGGTCTAAGGGTTACAAAGACTTGGATCTGAGTCCTAGATTTGTCTCTGAAAAGTTGTTTGATCTGGGCAAGCCATTTTTCTTCCCTAGACCTTAGTTTCCTTATACATAAACAGAAAAAGGTCAGATTATCTGAAATATAGAGTCTCTTTTAACATTCTATGTTCTAAGTTCCTTCTCAGCAATGATACTATGTTCTTTATGTTCTAAGGTTTCTTCCAGCTTTGACACTTTAAATATGCTTTATAGGGTGCAAAGTGCTTTACATAAGTTATTTCACTTGAACCTTAAAACAATTTTGTGAGATAGGTACTACATGTATTTTTATGCTTATTTCATGATAAGAAAATTGATACTTTGAGATGTTAGATGTTTTGCCTATGGCCACATAGATAGGAAATTTTCTTATTTAATTTTTTAATTAATAAACATTTTTCTCTCTCTTCCCTCTCTCATTGCACCAGTGGGGAAAAACCCAGCAAAACCCTTATAACAAAGATTCATAGTTGAGTAAAACAAACTCTCACATTGGCCAGACCCAAAAGTGTATGTATTATTCTGTATATTTAGTCTGTTACCTCTCTGTCTGGAAGAGAAATGCAAAGTAAAGCAACTTTGGCATTTTACCTCACCTATCAGATTGATGAAGCTAGGGGGAAAAAGGAAAAATGACAAATGTTGGAAGGGCTGTGAGAAAGTAGGCACATTAATAAACTGTCGATGAAGCTATGAATTGGTACAGGCTAAAAACATTTTAGAGAACAATTGGACTGTGAGTCGTTATCACCTCAGGATTGCTGTGAGAGTCTCATATAATACTGCATTTAAAGCATTTTGTAAACCACAAAGCTATATACATAGATCATTTTTCTCATTCTCTCCCTTCTCTTCTTCCTTCTCCTCTACCTCTTCCTTTTTTTGTCTTCCTGAAACCTGCTATACCAAAATTCATGGAGGTCTCAGAGTTTAGGAACAAGAGGGATTCCCCATTCATGCTTCTTTCCTCCTCTTTCTTTTCTATCTCCACAGAAAATCTGCAGACGTTGCTATCATGGCCATCTGGTCTCTATCCACAGCTCCCACACCAACCACCTCATCCGGTGTTCAGCTAGTAGAATCAACCAGAGCCAGATCTGGATTGGAGCCAGAGTCAAGGGCTGGGTAAGAAGAGAACAGAGAATAACTCTAGGCATGGAGCTTTTTTCCCTTGCTCTCTTTAAAGAGTCCCAGATGACTACCTAGCCACAGCACAGGTATTCACCTGGCTTGGAGGAAGCCCTAATGATGTTTCCTTGATGATATGGGTGGTGGGCATGACTAAGAGAAGGGTGCCTTTGACTCTCAATGGGTTTGGCTTGGACAGTTCCTATCAATATTTGCCTGTTTAGGATAGTGCTTGTTTTGACCCAGTACCCATAATGCTCTGGTGTTCAGAGACTGAGATTGCCAGGGATATTAGTTAGTTAGCTTTCCTGTATGGCATGTATGAAACTCAATTTCATGGTCTCTGTACCTGACCTGTCCTTTCCCATCTGATCTACAGATCTTCAGAAAGAGATTTTGCTGGGTTGATGGGAGTCGTTGGACATTTTCTTACTGGGCAGCAGGCCAACCTGGAAATGGTGGGGGCCGATGTGTAGCCTTATGTACCCGAGGTGAGTAGGAACAAGGGAACCTGGGAAATGAGGTAGATTAGGAGAAATGAGTAGCAGGGAAATCTCTCCTATGTTGCTTCTGTTCTGTTATGTCACGTAATGTGACCATACTCTGCTCCCCAGGACAATTTGGTGGCGGAGGAAGGAAACCTTATGGGATGGGCAACCAAGGGACACACGGGAGGTGGCCCTAATAAAGGGTTTGTTTATTTACTGGAATCCCTTGCTTAAGAGTCTCTCTAAGGGAGAGGTCTACAGGCTCTTCTGGGGCCACTGTAAAGGAGAATGGAATGAGTGTGCTGGGCATGAATGAGTAATGGAGTTCCTTAGAGGCCATAGATAGGAAGTAGAATGTGCGGGAACTTTCTTAACAGGGGGTCATTGGCGTCGAGCTCCATGCAAACGTCGCCTGCCTTTTGCCTGCTCTTACTGAGCTGGTTCTGCTGAAGAATTCAGTCAAGACCTACACTATAATGCCACTGGATAACTTGATTTGAGGCCCATCTCTTCCCCTTCCTTTTGTTTCCCTGAAATAAACCAGATTTCTGAAAGTTCAAATCATTGTTCTCTCTTTTTTGTCCTCCATATGTCATTCTTCCCCTAATCTTTACACATAAGCATTTTGAAAGGGCCCAAAGAGTTTCATTCTGAAGGATCAAAAGGGAATGATAAAAGGGGGGATAAGTGGTCCTGTTTTATAAGACCTAGAGCTGGAAGGAACTTTGGAAAACAGAAAATTTATTGTTACTGCTGGGAAAAATTTTAGAACATATAATAATGAACCATTAGGGAACATAAAACATAAAATATAAGATGTTAGAAATGAAGGGGGGATGCAACTGGGTAGCATAGTGGCTTAGAACACTGGGCTTGAAGTCTAAGTGAAGATCTAAATTCAAATCCTGCCTCAGATACTCATTAATTGTGTGACCCTGGGCAAGTCATTTAACCTTTCTCAAGCCTCAGTTTCCTCATATGTAAAATTTGAAAATAATATACCTACTTCACAGGTTGTTGTAGATAACATAAATGAGATATTTTGCAAACTTTAAAGCACTATTTAAATGTTAAGGGCTATCATTATTGTGCTGTCAAAACTGAGGACCTGCAAGGCTTAGTGGCCTGCACCAGGTTACATGCATGTTAAGTATGATTGTCAGAATTAAAACTTATGGAATAACAGAATCCCCAAATACCCTCAGAGTTGAAGGAACTGAAGAACAGATTGAAATCACACAGCTACCAGGATGGAAACTTGTAGAACCACAGAATCATTGTATTTCAGGTCTAGGAAGAAGTCTTTAATTTTCCTGAATCCATCTACTCAAGGGTTCTTAAGCTTTCTTTGTTATGTGAATTCTTTAGACAGTCTGGCAAAGCTTATGGATACATTTTCAGCATAATTAATCTTTTTAAAAACACAATTGAAGGAAATACAGTATTTAAGTTAGAGGTCAGTGAAAATAAAGGTGTAATTTGTCCTATCAAAGTTCACAGACATTCCCCCCCCCCAAATCTATCAATGGACCCCAAGGGAGGGGCATACAGTCTTATTTGATCTGTACAACAACCCTGTGAAGTGGGTGCTATTATTATCTACATTTTACAGATGAGGAGACTGAGGCTGAGAGATTAAGTGACTTTCCTTGTCCTAGCGCAACCCAATATCTGAAGAAGAATCATTTCTATGAAATCAGTGAGAAGTGGTCACCTAGCCTCTGCCTGGAAGCCATTAGTAAGTGGGAAACTGCCCTCCACCAGAGTTTCACATTAATCTGTAGACAGATCTAATTGTTAGGATGGTTCTTCAAATGTTTACATGAAATTACTCTCTCTGCAACTTTCACTTTTTGCTCCAAAGGAATCATAGAATCCCTTGGCATAGAAAAAACATAGAAGAGTTGAGTAGTTCTTGAAAATGGAGCTTAAGAAAACGTGGAGCTACTTACTCCAACTTCCTCATCTTATAAATGAGGAGCCTTGGGTCTAGCAAACTCAAGGGACTTGCCCCAGGTCAGAAAAGTAATAAATACTAATGGAAGGATTTCAACCCAGGCCTTCTGTCTCCAGAGACAGTTCTTTTCACTGTATCACACTGCCTCACCAGGCAGGTGTTCAACTTTTTCATCATCCTTCATTATTATCATCCAATCAACCCTGAGCAGCAATCCTAGCCCTTTCTCCCACCATTTCCAAGCCCAAACCAAACCAAATCTTTTTGTTATCAGACTTCCTTGTCAGGCTCAGCTTCTTCAGTGGTTTATTACTCCTGACACCAGTTTTAGGGACAATGACACTCCTTTGTAGCTTTTCACCTTGTATTGCCTTCACCTTTCTTAAAATTGAAGTTTATGAGGTAAGATCCTTGTGCATCTACATTGGTTTCTTTGGGGAGCTTCTGCTTTCTTCCATGATCTGAATTTTTTGTTTTTGTTTTTAGAATTTCATTCCTGAGAATTTCCCATCTTTGTTGTGGAAGTTTTGGGCCATCGAATCCTTCTTATCTTTTCCCATGACCCTTTGAAACTTGACCTTCATAACCCCATAACAAATGCTTTATCCATATCTCACTTCTAACACCAGAATTTTGTGTTTCATCTTTCCTGAAAATCAGATGAGTTTATAATCCCCAGCAGAGTGGTGACATAGAGATTTCCAAAGCCTTTAGCTTCCCATGGGGGAAAGGAGATAAATGAATCCTACATCTACCTTCTTTAAGATTTTATGTTTTATTTGACTCAACTCCCGTCACCACTGGGCAGCAGGTAGTGATGGGAGTGGGGGAGGGAAGATTCTGACTCCTAAGCTAGCTATGTAACTGAAAAATCACTTAATCTCTTGATCTCAGTTTCTTCATCTTTAAAGTAGAGATAATAATATTATACTACCTACTTCACAGGTTTTTGGGAGGAAAGTACTTTTGAAACCTTAAAAGTATATAAAAATATCAGGAATATGACTGTTACTCCTTGGACCCCTGGGGTACTGTATTTATCCAACTCTACTGGTTTGGCATAGAATGAAACTGCTTTTCTCTCTAACTCAACTTCTCTCAACTTGGTTGTGTTAAGGAACACAGATGGAGTGAAACAGAAGAAAAAGAAATAAGATAAGGTAAATTCTGAAGAAAGTTTAGGTGGGAATGGTTGTAAAGGGCATAAAGTTGTTTGGTCTTTCCTGGTCTAATCTTATTTGAGTTACTGAAATTAGATAACCTTCTTTAGGGGTCCCTTCTCTATCCCCAGTGAGGCTAATGAGACATGAGTGTGTTTAGGATAGAGGATACACTAAGGATTTTAGTGGAAAGAACATGGCCACCATTAAACACAAAGTGGGGGGAGGGAGGGAAGAAAAAAAGGGGAAAAAAAGAAATTCACATGATCTTTGCATATTTAAAAGGAATAGCAAGTTGCACATAGTAGATTTACAGTCTCATGTGCAATCATCTTTTTTATTATACTATGTTATAGAAATGCTTGTTTTATTCTGTAAATTAAAAATAAAATACATTTGAAAAAAAAAGAAAGAAAGGGGGCAGCTAGGGGGCACAGTGGATAGAGCACTGGCCTGGGAGTCGGGAGGACCTGAGTTTAAATTCGATCTCAGACCAGACATTTGACACTTACTAGCTGTGTGGTCCTGGGCAAGTCACTTAACCCCAATGCCTAGCAAAAACCAAAACAAACAAACAAATAAAAAAAGAAAGAAAGAACATGGATTTGGAGTCAGGAGATTTGGGTTTGAGTCCTGGCTCTCCCATAGACCTTGACTACAAGCTTTTTGACACTTCAGTTCTCTGTGCCTCAGTTTTACCATCTGTCTAATACCATATGATTATAAAGATTAAAGATAATGTAGGTGAAGCACTTTTATAAACTAGAAAGTGCTATGAAAATATGTTAGAAGAATTATTAAAACTATTAAATGAGCACCATGAGAATATCATCAACCTTTTTTCTAAGGCGAGTATTTATAGATACTGTGGTAGTCTTCCAGATGGGCCAGGGCCAGGAAGAATACACACCAAGTACACATATCCAGGGTCATTTCCAGTAAAGGGGCAGTGGTAGTACCATTGTACTCTGTCTTCATCAGATTACATCCTGCATATTATGTTCATTTCTGGGCACCATATTTTTTAATTAATTTATTTATTTTTAGTTTTTAGCAATCACTTCCATAAGCTTTTGAGTTTTAAATTTTCTCCCCCTCCTTCCCTGCCCACCTCACCAAGACAGCATGGATTCTGATACAGACTCTAGATATACACTCCTATTAAACATATTTTCACATTAGTCATGTTGTGAGGAAGAATTAGAACCAATAGGAGAAACCACAAGAATGAAGAAACAAAACAAAACAGAAGAAAAAAAAGAGCAAATAGTATGCTTCAATATGCATTCAAACGCCGTAGTTCTTTCTCTGGATGTGGATAGCATTTTCCATCATGAGACTTTTGGAGATGTCTCAGATCCTTGCATTGCTGAGAAGAGCCAAGTCTATCAAAGTCAGTCATTGCACAATGTGGCTGTTACTGTGTACAATGTTCTGGTTCTGCTCACTTCACTCAGAATCAGTCCAATACAAGTCTTTCCAGGTTTTTCTGATGTCCACTTGCTCATCATTTCTTATAGAATAACAGTATTCCATTACATTCCTATACCATAGCTTGTTCAGCCATTCCCCAATTGATGGGCATTCCCTCAATTTCCAATTCTTTGCCACCAAAGAAAGAGCTGCTATAAATATTTTTGTACATATGGGTCCTTTTCCCATTTTCATGATCTCTTTGGGATACAGCCTTAGAAATGCTATTGCTGAGTCAAAGGGTATGTATATTTTTATATGGGCACCACATTTTAGAAAGGGCATTAGTAAACTGGGCAGTGTCCAGAGGAAACATCTAGGATGGTGTCCATGAGTTCATGTCACATGGGGTTGATTGAAGGAACTGAGGGTGTTTGTCCAGGAGAAGAGAGGTCTCAGAGGAGTTATGATAGCTGCCTTCAGGTCTTTGAAGAGCTGTCATGTGGAGATTTGTTCTATTTTGGCTCCAGAGAGCAGAGCTAAGAGCAAGATTGGAAGTTACAAAGAGGCAAATTTGGGCTTAATGTCAGGAAAAATGTCCTAATGATTAGAGCTCTCCTTATGTGGAATGTTACATGGGTATTGAGCATCAGAGTCAGGATTAAAACTTACAGAATAACAGGATCTCTGCATGTCCTCAGAACTGAGGGAACTGAACAATAGTTGAATGTCAAAGAGCTGCTTGGGAAATAGTGAGTTCCCCCTCTCCCACCCCTGGCCAATAATGGATGCCTTCACACAGAATATGGCTGACCACTTGTTGGCTATGTTGTAGTAGGAATTCTTCGAGGGTATAGATTGGATTAGATGGCCACTGAGGTCTCTTCCAACTCTGACATTCCATGA